GACATGAAAAACAACCGGCGGCAACAGTGTTAAGCAGCTCAATTCCGCGGGAAAACCGCAGACTTGGCAACACTGGAAGAGGATAGCTTTCGGATAGTGCCGAAAGAACTTTCAAGAACCGGGTTGACCGGGTACTCGGTACCACCGGTACTTAAGAAAACCTGGTACCGTAACGTTTTCATTTTTTTAGTACCGACTTGGTACCGAAATACCGGGTCTTTTGACAACACTAACAATAACAATGACAGACTTTTCAACTGAGATCCAGAACTCAAATCTGAGAATACGGAGAACGTTCTTTCTTTACACATTTATTGTTCACTGTTTGTAATAAAAAAGTGATTGAAAGGCAACTGAATACCAAGTAGGACCAGGAACAGCACAGCACTATACAAACTTCAGCTCGCATCTGTTTTAAACAAAGACATGCAAATAAATGCAAGTGAAAAGCCATTTACATGCTATAGCTGGAAAATAAAAGCTTATTTTAGGGCTCTGTAAAGACTGCTCTCTGAATTTCACAAACCTGACAATTTTACACCACTTTTTTTGCACCTCAACAAATAGTTTATTAAAGTATTAGTTCACTTCCAGAATAAAAATTTCTGATAATTTACTCATCCCCATGTCATCCAAGATGTTCATGTCTTTCTGTCTTCAGTCGCAAAGAAATTAAGGTTCTTGAGGAAAACATTCCAGGATTTTCCTCCATATAATGGACTTCAATGGTGGCCAATGGGTTGAAGGTCCAAATTCACGCATTAGGTAATCACGTTGGTAAGGTCACGCACGGTTAGCTCTTCATGTGTACTCTGGTTCAAAAAATTAAGAGTATAGGGTGAAAAATTCCATCTCATTTTCTCCTCCAACTTCAACAACATCGTTGTTTTACCTTTTTTGTAAAGGGCATTTGACTTTCTTTGCACGTTCGCTTTGTAAACACTGGGTCGGTTCTTCTGCCCACGTCATACATGACCTTTCTAACGTGACTATGTAATGCGTGAAGTCGAGCTAGAGTAAGACGAGCATTTGTGGTTAAAAAGTATATACATTTTTATTTTTTAAAGAAAATAACTCATCGTTTCGCTATACAAGCCCTAATTCCACGGCTGGGATCATGTAGAGCCCTATGAAGCTGCAATGAAACTGCAATTTGGACCTTCAGTCCATTGGCCACCATTGAAGTCCATTTTATGGAGAAAATGTTTTTCTAAAAAAACGTAATTTCTTTGCGACTGAAGAAAGAAAGATATGAACATCTTGAATGACATGGGGGTGAGGGATTTTTATTCTGGAAGTGAACTAATCCTTTAACAACTAGGAATTCCACAATGCACTCAATTTGCCACAATGGCCCACTTTACCCTAAAGCTAACCCTGAAGAAAATTAAAGTCTTTTCCAAAAACAGCTTCTGCTCCAGTGCTCTCCAGCCCCCTGCATGTCCTGCCATCTGTAGGTGTTAGTACAGCAGTATACAAAATATTTAACCCACAGCTGACCTCTTTATGGCTTTTTCACTCTACAATACACTTTCCATTTGGTACTTTACACTGACTTCAATTGTTTTTATACTGGTCTAGTGGTATTTTATATTTCTTAACCCCCACTTAATCCATTTTTCCTCTTTAGAGACATTATTTTGTATTATTTCGTATTATTATTATTTAGCATAACGGCTCAATTTAGGTTTTACTGTCAAATCAAGCCTCTGTCTGAATCCCTGTACAACAGCGGTTCTCAACCTTTTTGACTCGCTGTCAATGACAGTGATCAAGGTCCCACCAAGATACTTCTGCTGTAATGACAAATCCACTGATTTTCTAACTGTTTTATTTCCAGAAACAATGATCAGTTTCAATATATTAAAATAAATAAATAGAATAATTTATTATAATAATTATATTATAACATATAACTATTTAAATAATTATAGATACTTACATTTCATAATTTCAGATGTTTAAATGAGTGAATGAATATTTAAATTTTTTACAAATAGCAATTTCAATAGCAATATTTGAGAACTTTGCATAACTAGAAAATTATAAAAAATGTTCATGACATTTTGTGATTTTATTAATTTTCATCATCATTCCAGGATTTACAATACCATCACACTGTTAAAATCAGGCTTCCTCATGTATACAAGCTTGTTGCACACGTACAAAAAAATCCTGGTTCCTAAATAAATTGACAGTTGTAAGATTTAAATTTTTAGCTGTTTTAGCTTCTTTTAGTAATTGATTTGTCTTATTTTAAATAATTTTTAGTTATCTTGAGGCCCCCTTGGAAGTTGGGGTTCCGGACCCCTGATCTTTATTCACTGTACAATCATTCATTGATGATCAATCAGCCATACCTGTAGGAGCTGCCAGAGGACACTTCTTGTTTGATCTGCCGGTTGAGAGCATCCACAGCTGCCCTCCCTTTACCCTCTGTAGTGGTGGCATCCCCTACTCTCTGCCTGTCCAACTTCACGCCAGCTTTGTTTTCAGAAACCATGGTCACTTTCTTGTCTTGTCTCTTTTTCCTTTCACTAGACAGGATCTCCTTCTCTTGCACCTTGTCAGCAATTTCGCTCTTTTCCACCCCACTGTCCATCATCTCTAAGGTGTGTTTGGATCTGTCAGGGATGCGGTCATTGCCCACTGAGATGGTCGGAGAGGGTTTGGGTATCCAAGGATGATCTCCCCTCTTTGGGATAGGCCAGGGTTTGAAGTCCTTCTGATACTGGGTCTTTTTGTTAAAAGGAACCTCAGGGCAATGATACTTGTTCTTGGGCTTGCAGCTGGGCTCCGGGCGAACTTTCCAGTGTTTGAAGTCCTGGCGCATCACAGATCCTAAGATGTTTTCATCCTGGGCTGGAGGTCCTTTGGTCACCGCGTCGTGGTCGTTGTGAAGCGGCTGCGTTTCTATGGCGACCTTCGGCGCAGGCTGCTGCAGGTGAAGATGCTGCATTTCGGACACGTCCGAGTACTTGGTGAAAACCAACGGCACCGCAATGTCGCCCTTGTCCAGCTGGTTCCAGAACCGAGCCATACAGCAGGCTCTGGAGATACAGGGCCATGCCATGATGGTTTGCCAACGTCTTACCTTCTGTTATGTCAATCTCTTCCTTTTCTCAAAGCTGTTTTCTATTCAGTTTGTGGAACTAAACGCGCTCGTGTCACAAAATGTCCGACTCGCAATGTTTTCCCTTAAAACGATGCTGTCAAAGATGACAGAACATAAATCCACTGTAAAAGAGGCATTACCGGTTCTTGAGGGATTTTTACCTGTGAAATATTCAGATTTTGCTCCGTCCTGATCCCCTTGCGCTCGTTAGAATACGAGAATTTGTGAAGACACAGCTGCCCCTCCCGCGCGCCTCCTCCGCTCAGCTTCCATGGAGAGGAGCTGAATCACCTGCCACTGTCATCATCACGCAACGTCTGGAATGGGCGGAGTTGCGCTCGAATCCCCGCCCACTAAAGTACAGTTCTGAGGACATCTCTGTTGGAAATCAGGAAGGATGCTCAAAAATAGCTCAAACATGTTATACTTACTCTTATTCTTATTCTCTGTATAGGCTATATAGTTCTAAAGTTTTTGAAAGAAGTCTCTTATGCTCACCAAGGCTGTATTTATTTGCTAAAAACAGTGATATCGTGAAATATTATTACAATTTAAAACAACAATTTTCTATTTTGATATATTTTAAAATGTAATTTATTCCTATGATGGCAAAGCAGAAGTTTCAGCAGTCATTATGTATTACATAAAGGCTATTTAATATGCTGCTCAAGAAACTTATCATTATCAGTATTGAAAACAGTTTCTTTCAGGATTCTTTGATATAGAAAACACGGAAAGAATAGAAAGTTCAAAAGCACAGCATTTATTTGAAATATTTTGTAACATAAATGTATTTGCTTTAATCATAATGTATATTTATTTTTTACATTGTAACATTTTTTCAAGTGTTACATGAACAAATTATCATGATTAATAATATACATACATATTCATTGTAAAATACATTTTCAATTTTAAATACATTATTACTTATGTTATATATATATATATATATATATATATATATATATATATATATATATATATATATATATATATATATATATATATATATATATATATATATATATATATATATATATATATATATATATATATATATATATATATATATATATATATATATATATATATATATATATATATATATATATATATATATATATATATATATATATATATATATATATATATATATATATATATATATATATATATATATATATATATATATATATATATATATATATATATATATATATATATATATATATATATATATATATATATATATATATATATATATATATATATATATATATATATATATATATATATATATATATATATATATATATATATATATATATATATATATATATATATATATATATATATATATATATATATATATATATATATATATATATATATATATATATATATATATATATATATATATATATATATATATATATATATATATATATATATATATATATATATATATATATATATATATATATATATATATATATATATATATATATATATATATATATATATATATATATATATATATATATATATATATATATATATATATATATATATATATATATATATATATATATATATATATATATATATATATATATATATATATATATTCTAATTTAAAATAACATCATGCATATCAGCTGCATTAATCTCTTCTTTTCATACACATGTTGTGAGGCCTAATTTTGCACAGCCCTTTGTCTCTGGGGTCAAAAGTCTCATTGGTGTAATATCAAGGTACTCTTGGTCTATAATCCTTTCACTTGCAGATCAGATAAGGTGGCAGATGAAAAGAGGAGGGGAGCATACCAAGACATGGTGTCAGACTTTGACCTCAGAGTGGAGATCCTAGTGCTGTGCTGATCTCTCAGCCTCTCGCCGGCTCTTGCTGTCTTCTGGTTTAGACATGAAGATTTATTTTGCTCCGGCTGATGTGCCTCTGGTTAGAAGGATCCAGACTGCTGTCGTATTACAGTGGGTCTTCTCTTTCCTGGCGCTCGGTAAGTGCATGTGATTTTATTATAGTCTCTTTGCAAAGCCATCAAGTGTTGATCTTGAATGAGATCTAATCACAGTCTGTGTCCTGTCTCTTACATGTACTGCAATAGTCATTGCTTTTTAAGGTAAATACTTAAACTTAAGTTTAAAGAGATTCTCAGTAGAATCCCTTTTACAGTGTTTCTACTTTAAGAAAGATATTGTAGCTTTATTGCTGTTCTGCATTTAGATAAACTGTGCAGTTTCTGTATGCTGATTTGTGATTGGTCCGTTGGCTCTCATGTTTTAAAGGTAATAAAAGCTGAGAGCAAGAGTATAACCTCATACAAATGCCTCTTTCTAGAACACGTTTTCACTGTTTTGAAAAAAGCAGGAAACCGTGTTGTATCAAACATATTTTGTTCTGTTTGTGACTATGTAGGCCTTTAGCAAAGCACCAAGACAGGTCAAAATCTCCAGGTCAAAGTCTTTGGTTGGAAAGATCCTGACTGTAGATGTATTTGAGCTGATGTGTTTTCTTTCAGCCTGTGCATGTGTATGTCTAATGCACCTGTGTTTATTATCTGTATAATTTTTGCAGCCCCCATCTGTATTATACTGTTCTTCTTCCTACTCTACACTCGTTTCTGGCTCATCAGCGTGCTTTATGCCATCTGGTGGTACATCGATTGGGACACACCTTCACGAGGAGGTAGAAAAGTGCCCTTTCTGTGCCGAATGCGTGTGTGGGAGTACACAAGAGATTATTTCCCTATAAAGGTGAGTGGGCGGATCTAGTGAAGCATAGCAAAAGTGTTGCTTGGTTGGTGGTTGACCTTTTAAATATGATCAGAAGCTGATTTTGTCACTTGTACAAATTGTGTCATATGAACTAATTTGACCAGATGACCAGGGTTTCAAATGGAGCTTATAAAAACAGAATTGCTTTATATGTCAACAGTGTCTTCTTTGTTGTCATTCTTTTTGCTATTATATGCATCAATGAACATCAGCATAATAGAGCTTTTACCAAATGAAACCAACGCATTGTTGTTGCTCCAGGGAGAAAAACAAGGCCGAACCATTTAGATGTACAGACAAACAGTGATTTGCAGGTTTAAATAATGGGAGAACAATGTAATACTGCCATCACCACAGTGTCTATTCATTATCTGAAAATGGTGCAGAGCCCAGAATCCATATATTTTTACAGAATTTTAATAAGCTCATGGTAGTATTTAATATAGTGTGTTGGTTTGCTTAAAAGTTTTTATTATTGTGTTGTTTGAAATATGTTCTTTGTCTGAATGCATTTTAAATATATTATAATCTTTTGCATTGATTTAGATATGGTATTGGTTGTCAAATGTATGTGGAATTGAATTACCATACATTAACGGTTTAGTTTTCATTATTACAATCGATCGTTGTATGTAATGGTTTTAAAAACTAAATTCTAAATTGCTGTACCTCTCACAAAACATTATTCTGGAAAAGAAAAAGCATCAGAATAATTTTATTCCCGTTTTGAAGTGAACATTATGCACTACCATTCAAAAGTTTGGTATCAGTAAGATTTGTATGTAGCCTATTCATTCATGTTTTTGTTTTTTTTTGAAAGAAATTAATACTTTTATTCAGCAAGGAGCCATTAAATTGATCAAAAGTGATAGTAACTTTGACATTTTTACAAAAGATTTCTATTTCAAATAAATGCTGTTCTTTTGAACTTTATATTCATTAAATATTCTTGAAAAACATTTGAATAGTTTAGAGTTTATTTTTCATGCATCTGAGGTTGAATGCTGAGTGCACTAATAATCAGTAGAGAAAATTTATACTGCAGATATTGTCTGTAAAATAACTTGCAAATAACTTTTAGGAGTACTTTTTGTATTTGGAAAGTTTAAATTAAGCTGATAAATACTACAGTATTTTAGTGGCCAACCTCGCTATTGTACTCTTGTCAATCTTGATGAAAGGTTTTGTTTTTCTCAACAGAGTGCATCAAAAACTAAACTGATTTGATTAGAATATCAGGGAAATGTTATGGCTTTGGTAGTTGAACCCTTGATACAATAATTTGTCTTATCTGTATGTACCTGTCCATAATGATAGTGTTTTCACCTTCTGAACAACAGAGACGGCATGTGTCCTTAGAAGACTCTCTGTGTTCGGAGTGAATGAGTAACTCTAAACAATGGGGGATTTAAACCCCTGTTCAATCCAAGGGTCATGGCCATGATCTTCAAGGGAGACAAAAATACCCATCTCTATCAAAACAACTGAACAACTTAAAGAATCAACGTGATGATTATAGACGTTATTTTGATTTGGTTTATCATTTATGTTAGTGATTATTCATTGGGCTTTGTATAAATCATATGAGCTCAACCATTTACTTACAATTGCAATTTTTTCTAAGAAATTTCCCTTTTTGTCAATTCACCATACAATCTGGCTTTGTCCCAGGATTCACAGGAAGCACAGCATATGACTAAATGCGTCATTAGTATTAAAGAGGCCTTGCTGTACACTGTAAAAAATGACCATGAATTTAACGGTAAAAGACTGTTATTTAACTGTAAATTTAAGTTAAAACCGTAAAACCTAAAACATTGCTACCGTATTTTTTACGGTAAAATTCCGGCAACCACAGCTGCCGGTTTTTTACCGTAAACTTTACGGAATTTCTTTTTACAGTGTAGCTACACAGAGCATTTGTATTCAAAGTGAATAATTGATTAAGATGAAACCTTGCTTCAACCACCGGTGCAAATTTTCCCTCATCTGTACAAAACCTCCTAATCTGAAGGCAGATCAGGGATCTTGGAAAACGCAAACCTTTGCTTATGCACATGAATATTGAAGGTGACATGGTGGGAATTTTGTTTCCTTTAAGAAAAGGAAGTGTCTGAGTTATCAAGAACCTACCTCCACAAGTGCAGTGTTATTTCATTATTGGTAACTGTCTTAATAATGGTGTGATGAGAACTTTACATGGTTAGCAGTCAGAATTTTTTTTGTGTGTGAGAGAGAACATACAGTAGTTACTGGACTCAACCCTCTCAAACCAACCAAGTCACAACCCTTGCCTTTGGTGGATATTAAGTGCAGAATGGATAGTAAAAGATCACTGAATGTATGAAAACGTGTTTCACACTGCACTAACAGTACAGTTCATCCTTTTCTTAGAGAACAACTATTTGGTTTTCTCGGAAAAACTGTTGTGTTGGAGATTCCGATCGTGGTTCTGGGAAATTCCTGGATTTGTTAATGTCAAGCCAAAGCTACAGTAGCCTACCTCAAACACAAATCAGTCTGGCTTGAGTCTGATTTGACTGGTACTGTTCTGTGTTGCTGATAAATAGTTTTAGTATTCTGTTAACACTTTCACTGTAGTGATTGGTATTAATAGTTAAATATTAGCAGATCCTAGATCAGTGTGTAAGGTCATAATAGAGCCCTATACAGCACCGCATTGCACATGAACAGCACATGATCAATGACCTTTGATATGAAAGAAACTATATCAAACCTATTCACATTCTTTAAAACACTGAAGTTATTTACATTAACTTCTTTGTCTCTTTACTAGTTGGTGAAGACAGCTGATCTGGACCCTAGGAAGAACTATGTGCTGGGCTTCCATCCTCATGGTATTCTTGTGGCTGGTGCATTTACAAATTTCTGCACGGAGGCGACAGGTTTTAGCAAACTCTTCCCTGGGCTGAGAAGCAACCTTCTCATGCTGCCACTCTGGTTCAGAGCCCCCTTCTTCAGAGACTACATTATGTCTGCAGGTCTGTTGCCCTGATCATAGAATACTGTAAAAATGTATATTTATTAACATTATAACTTATCACAGAGACAACAATCTTTAAGATGTAAAGTGCCTCAAAATATTATTTTATAAAATGTGTATAAATAGCATAATGTACATTTATTATTTTATTTTGATGATGTAAAGTTTTTTTTTTTATGCTATTATTACAGACAGCTACGCCAACTGTTCTAACGTTTTAAAAATGTGTGTGTGTGTGTGTTCCAGGCTTGGTACCATCAGACAAGGGGAGTGCCAGCTATCTGCTCCGGCGGAAGGGAGGTGGGAACGCTGTGGTCATTGCAGTTGGTGGTGCCCCTGAGGCTTTAGATGCCCATCCTGGTGACTACACCGTACACCTGGCCAATAAAAAGGGCTTCATTAAGCTTGCAATAGAGCATGGGTAAGCAGCAGCTTTTTCCTGATCAGTTAATAGTACATAATAATAGTAAATACATATTACATAGTTAATAGTATAATTTCTTTTCAGACTGCAGTTTCTTGTTACATTCACATTGGTTGTCATAGTAGTTGTCATTATTTGTAAATTGACTGTTAAGATATAAATTTTGCACCATTTATCATCTGCAATACCATTGTGTAGCCACTAGATGCCTGTATAGCCCTATATAAAATATATTTTTAACAGGTTTGTGTAATCCCTAGTTGCTAAGAAATTGTCATCACACATGAATTAATTTTATTACATTTGGATTTGGATATATGTTTAGATATTCTCAATGACTACTTTTTGTCTTTAACTGTTTTTGTTTAGATGTTTTATTGTTGTTGTTGTTTGAAATGTTGATTTAAAGTGTCAGTTTTTGCATTTTTATTTCAGTTACTTTGTTACTATACCAATATTTTTTAATTGGCCATTAAAGTTTTATATGTGAATATTACACAATACACTGATCCTTTAACAATGCATTGGCACAAAAACGCATAACCTTTTGGACCAATTTTGCAGCATGATTTCTCGACTGCCACAAATACTGCCCTAACAAAATACTGATTTTGTGCACTTTTTACCAATATTTTAAAATGGCCTTTTACCTTAGCTTTATGGTATGGCAAAAAAAAAAAAAAAAAACACCTTACCTTGCCAAAGCATTGACAGAACCCATTGATCTAATTGATCTAATTTTTTTATAGCCTACTTTATTGCCAGAAATCACTTACATATCAGAATATAATGATATAACAATTTCTTGAACAGATATTTAACAGATAGGAAGAACAAACAAAAAAGGTATGAGATTATCATATAAATAACTTAAAGTCTTCACATAAAATCTTTGTGTGTTTTGCTTTACTATTTTTCAATCCAAGAAGTAACTTAATATAATGTTTCATTTCTACCTTGAACAACAAAAAATTTGGCTTTCCTTTGGCCCATTTCTGTTTATGCGTATGGTATTTCCCCATAATCAAACAAAGATTAACAATTTAAAAGCCACAATTGGTGATAATCTTTGTCTATTAAAATAACACAAAACATCTTTTTCAGAAACAGAAACGTAAATGCCTAAAGATTTATAGAAAAGGCCTCCCAAGTCAATCCAAAACATTTTGCTATAAATGCAGTTAAAAAAATAAATAGACAACATTTGGACTCCAATCCACAAAAGTCACATTTGGTATCAGTAAAAAATCTTAGGAAATGTACTTTAACAGGATACAGATGAAGTATTTTAAAATGTACTTCACTCACCTTATTAGTTATACAATATTTTTTATGCAACATCCATGCATATTTCCACTCAATGCACTGAAAGCTTGAGTTCCAAAATGTTTTTGAAGAAACTGAGCTATAATCTTTTAGTAAATTCCTAATAAAGTAATTATTCCATCTCCTGTCTGTAATATTATCTCCATTAATTGCAATAACAGGTTTAAGACTCCCTACAGTCTCCTTATTCACATTTGATTTAAAACAGACATTTTAAACTGCATGGTATAGCATCAAACACTATACAGTATTCTTTTGGAGTTATCGGAATATTATGCCTATGAAGAAATTCTGTGAATGTGTATACAGGTGTCCATTTTTATTAAATAATTGTTTAACAAATATATTATAATTTTCAATCCATTTCTGAAACAGCAAAGTTTTGCATTTAAACATTATATGTTTGTTTTTCCAAATTATACATTTATGTGGAGAAAAATTATGTTTATAGATAAGCACCCATGAAGAGTAGAACCTGCTTATGAAAATTACTTAATCTAACAGGGATCTTACTAATATTAAATAAAAATTACACTGTAACAGGAAAACAATGCCACCCATTTTTTCGAAGATTAGATTTGGGATCAGATACCAAATTTGATCTTTTAATACAAGAAATGGCTCAGAATGATCATCCACTTCATGATCTCTATTCTAATTCAATCTCAGTTTTGCTAAGCAGAAAATTAAATAAACTTTAAACTTCAAAAATAATTATTGATCCATCTGTTCTTCAAAATTGTATTTGAAGTGGTACAGTCAAGCACATTTAAACCTCCATCACCAACTGAATTAGTTAAGGTACTTTTTATGTAATGAGACCTATTTCTCCAAATAAAATTGAAAGGTTGTGTTTGTGCCAGTTATTCATTGCCAGATACTTCTCTTGAGCCACAGTCGGTCAATTCTGAAATACAAACTTGGACCCAAACTAAAGAGATTGATTAAGAAATTGTACAAAAGAAAAAAATTTAATGAGGCAGAATAAAAATGTTAGAAATGTACAATTTATGTGTATAATTATTATACAGCTCTGTTTTGTGTCAGGGTTTATTTAGTGATAATGATTGCATACATGATCTCTTACTTATTTTCTCTCTATATTTTTATCAAAAGGAGCAAAAAAATTGGTTTAAAATCTATGTTTTATTTTTCCTCCAGTGCAGATTTGGTACCTATATATTCGTTTGGAGAGAATGAGGTGTTTGACCAGTTGGAGAACCCTCATGGCACCTGGCTGCGATATATTCAAGAGCGTCTGCAAAGCATTATGGGCATTTCTCTGCCTCTCTTCCATGCACGAGGAGTTTTCCAGTACAGCTTCGGCCTAATGCCATACAGAAAACCCATCAACACTGTTGGTAAGCGCAATCAAATATTAGACAAATATCATCATTGTCAGGTCAAGGTTAAGAGTAAATTAAAGTCATATTCTGAATCTGTGCCAATGCAATAACCTCAGATGCAATAACCTCTGTCTCTTTTCTTAGCCTTTTATTTGTTGTACTGTACCAGTGCACAAATCTTATCTGTTACCACTTTTAGCCTACTGTAAACAGGTCCAAATCATTGCACAACTTTACAAGCATGGTATTTGCTTTTTAGCAACCCTTGAGAAATGTCAGATATAGTCATATCAGCAAACGTGAGGTGAATCGATTGCTGGGCCTAACAGATCTATCTATCATCTATCTGTCTGTCTGTCTAGCTATCTAGCTAGCCATCTGTCTGTCTGTCAATTCATGCATTCCATGCATTCAGTCATTTCACCTTTATGTTTTCAGTTATGAAGGTAATATTTTAACTGTCCTTTCTATCTTCTTCAAGTGGGTAGGCCGATTCCAGTAGAGAAAAACAAGAAACCAACAGCAGAAGAACTGGACGTGTTTCACCAGCGCTATATGGATGAACTCACACACCTGTTTGAGGAACACAAAGGAAATTATGGTGTACCTGAAGACGCTCACCTGCTGTTCCAGTGAGAGTATCACTGAAGTGACTCTGAGATTGTGTACGTATGTGTATATGAGAGAGAGACAGAAAGAGAGTTATGTATGTCTAGTTTAGTCTCAGTTGTATATTGTCAGCTTTTAAACCATTGCTGTTTTTGTTGTCAACCAGTAATATAATATTACATAATAAAAATAGAATTTAAATTTCCTGATAAATGCAATGTGTAATTTACAGCAGTTGATGCTTAGACATGTTCCAAAAATTGCACAAAAAAAAACTAACATTTCATGTAAATTAAATTTTCTTCATTGTTTTAACTTCTAAATGAACTGGTTTTACTCATGTCAGAAATATTATGTAATATGGCTAATGGAACCTTCATTAAATTCACTAACAAAAGTAATAACTTTTACGGTGTAAAATAACTTTATAACTAATAACCTTTACAGTGCTACTCTATATGCTTTAAACCAGCATGTCTGAATAAATCCACACCAGTTTTACTACTCTGTCTGTTTGAATGATTCGGGACACAGAGCCGCTTAAGTTTCTCCACTGACTCCCAAAAGACGCATCTCTCAGGATGATTGCAGTGTATAAAGGTCACTGGACATTACAACATGTAGTAAGACAAAGTTAAGAAGGAACTTATTCATCTGATGGTGTAAAACATGAAAGTCTTGAGGTCAGACAGATAAACAGATTGACAAATGCATCAATTAAAAAAAAATTATTTCAGTGCTTTTGCATTAGCTCGGTAAGCTTTTGTCCCGAGAAATTTTCTGTATGATCACAAAAGTATTGCATTCCCAGAGAAACTTTGTGTTAGCTCACAAAACATTTGTAAATAAAATCAGGTGTGAGGAAAACCTATATATCACTGGTTTTGTAAGCCAACCCAAAGTTTTTGAGAAAATATTTACTAAAAAAATAAAACTTTTCCTCCAATCTTTTTTTTTGTTTGTTTACCATTTTTTCCATTGCATCTGTAGTGTAATAACTAACACTGTTGCTCTTTAAAAAAAGCATTGGTCAGGGACACAGTGCATGATAGTTACTGTACCTGGAATCTTTGTGCTAATCTTTGTGTGCATCTTGATATGTGTGTACTGTATGTGGGGTAGGGGACATGTGTGCATGCTTTGCGGCAGGGCATGGAGGTGTGTATGTCTATAAACATGTATAGGTATGTTTTAAGAAACTAGGGAATTTGTGTACTTTGATCCTATTATGATCCTAATTTTGGTTTTCAAGAAAAACAGTTGTGTAACATCAGATTTGGCCTATCAGAGCTATAATGTAGTCTGCATAACATGAGTCTCCCATATCACATATATGATATATAAGTAATAATTTATATATATTTTAAATAATTATCTTTTATTTGTAGAATAAAAGCATCTGGTTATGCATCTGATTTCTTGGGTGCTTTTTGACCCAGAGGAACATAGATCATTTGTATGGAGGATGTATTTACATCACATCTCCAGCCCGATATCAAATTATTCTATAATTATTATTAAATCCAATTCTATAATTTTTTTTCCCCATTCTAACAGTTTTAATATAGTATGAAATGTCTCTCTTATCTTGATCTGAAAATCTGATATTATCATTAATTGTTCTTTTTTTAGAACAAAAGAGCAAAGTACAAGTAGACTTGATGCTTAGAACATTTTTTATCATTTCAACAGCACCTTATCTGCACCAGTGGGTAAAAACATGGACAAAACAATATCTACACACTTGTAAGAATACTGTTCTGTTTTGTCCACTTCTGCCACATGGACATCACCTTGACATAATCACCACTGATAAGCTACCCCTAAATGTAATGCAGAAACTTTCATTTTCTGTGAAGCTGCTTTGCAATGATTTATATGGTGAAAAGCGGTATATACAAATAAACTTGAATTTTATTTAATTGAAAAACAATCTATCATAAAGAAGCTGCAAAAACATTATCTGTTTGACCATCCGATAATATAAGACATATATGTATATCAGTGTACATCAATTAATGCCAACAAATGGTCTAATCGAGATTAAAGTTCAAAGACCAACTAAATGATCTCTGCCAAATGAACCTTTGATATTGATACACTACAAATTACAGTGAGTTTGTGCAATTTACCGTCTAGACCGAATATATTTCCTCATCAAAATTGAACCGTCTTATTATCAGTTTTTACCTATTGTGACATCAGATATCAAAAAGTAAATAGTTAAACATCATAAAATATTATTCATATTTCATAAACTTTAATATTGTAAAAAAAAAAGAAAAAAAAAAAAGTCCCTTATGGACATTCAGTCTGGCAGGCTGCTATCTCTCACTAATTTCCCTTTTTCACTCTTTAGTTTCTCAATTCTGAGGCCTATTGAAGTTTTGTATAATTACAAAGTGTTATTTTTATTACTAGAATATTTCAGTCTTGGTGTAAAACTGTAAATTAAATACTTCAAGTTGAAATACATGAGAAAAAAGGAGCAATTAATGATTGTTTTTTATAAAGAGTCAGGCATGTACTGGTCATCGGGAGCACCGGGACATCTCACGGCAATATTTGACAAGGTGGCTAATTCGTATGAATTTGAAGTCTCTTGATCCATTCAGATGTGACACAGAATTGTGTTATACAGTTGTGTGATATGAGAACATTAAAGGTTCTGTAGAGATGCTGGCTGAAAACAGCCACGACAATGTAAACTGCATGACGAGGTAAATTGGAAAACGCCAAAACATAATTACAAGCTTGTAAATTCAGAACCATAGTATTTAACATGCAGTTATTAACACTGTACAAATAGTGGTGTTTTGGCAGAAATGTTTTTATTATAAATGTTATACTCTCATTACTATTGGGGAATATTTTACTTTTATAGTTGTTTTTGTAGTTTCTACATGTTTCGTTTTTTTAAATTACGAATTCCATAGTTTATTATTACTTATAAAAACCATATAACCATGGTAATGAGGACCATGGTTTGTGACCACCATCTTACTAATACTAGTCAGCTAAACTCTTAATTTGAATTGAAGTAAAATGTTAATTAAGTAAGAGCCTGATTAAAGATAAATAGTGTCTTAAATTAGGTGTTAACTATTTAAAAATGTTAAAGTTCTTAAAGGGATAGTTCACCCCAAAATGAAACTTGTCATCATTTCCTCACCATAATGTCATTCCAAACCTGTATGAATTTCTTTCTTCTGTGGAACATAAAAGAAGATAATTTGAAAAATTCAAGAATTTTTTGTCCATGCAGTAGAAATCAAGGGTAACCAAAATGGTTTGGTAAAATTCTATAAAATATCTTCTTTTGTGTTCCACAAGTCATACCTGTTTGGAATGACATGAGGGTGAGGACATTTTGACAGAATTTAATAGCAGTACATTTTCTGCATTCCAGCTCAAAATCAATGCTTTACTGTCAAGTGCATTTCTATGTGACAAAAATACATTAGTTTGTTGCATTTGTTGTGAATTCAGTAATATCTATCATTATATTTTTCTGTCCTGTTTTATTTATTAATTTATTTACTCCAATTTAAGGCCCTATAACCCAGCAAAACACTCACAGGGGAACTCATGTGCCGAATTTGAACCCCAATCCAGTCCTGTAAAGTGTAGACATGGACAATCAGTGTTGGTCAATAAAGCATGAGGGCGGGGCTAAAGTCTCCTCCACCTGATTGGCTGGGCACCCATCCACGTCCAGTTTACCTTCACAGACCTTTTAAAGGCTGCAGGTCAGACGAAGCGATAACCAGTCCCGAACATCTCAGCAGGAAGGCTTTAAAGTTGGAAGAAATTCATCAGACAGGAACAGTTTTTTGGAATTAAAAACTTGACAACTTTTCGTATTGAAATATCGCTGACAGCGAAGGCGGTTATAGTTTGATTGACAGCGCTTTCTATGCCCCGCCCCCTGAGGCGCTTAAATGACAGGCGCGCGCCTGTGAGCTCGCGGCTGACGCCAGTACAGCGAGAGATGCTGTAGACCAGCTCAACTTCCACCAGCGAGATTTCTTCTGTTAAATTTATTATTCGTGCCTCAACCATGAAGACCATACTCGCTGCGTATTCCGGTGTGAAAAAGGGTAAGCTAAATATTTTGTGAAATAATTTCATTTTAATTTAATTTAGTTAATTAAATTAAATTTAGTTTAATTTATTTAACAAAATTTAATAAATGATTGTTCTGTATATACATGTTTTATGTGTATGTTTTAGATATATATTACATGTATGTAAAAACACACACACACACACAAACATATATATATATATATGAGGGAATGAGGGAGAGGGAATGAGAAGTGTTACATGAGCATCAGTGTCTTACTTTGTGTCTGATGTTTGTTGTTATTTTCAGTCAGGATGGACTCAGTTAAGATGGGATTATGTTGTCTTGTGATCTGATCTCAGTGATTGTAAGAGAAGTGTGTGTATGTGTGCTTCAGTACTGCATCTAATCTTTTTTGCACTGTGTAAAATTTGCTTGAGTTTTGTGAATAATGAATTAGAAGAAGTATCACAGTGTTGGTTGTGTGCTGTCATTCTTTTGCCACTCATATTGTCACTCATGCAATAGCAAAGAGTCATTAGTTTGTTATTTCATACATCTTCAGAGAGTTTTTTTCTGAGATTTTAGGAATTATTTGGCATTAGATAACATTTTATGCACAAAAAACAACCTGAATGACACCATTCTCAATGGACATCATCCCAGTTTGTCACAGTCGTGATATGCATGTCAGCATTTACTCCTAGGCTACAGACAGACCTTGATGTAGAGAACAAGCGTTCCCACAACATTAAGATGGTTAATTCCAATTCTCCTTTAAATCCCATATAGGCTCAGGCTCCAGCATCCTCTCGGCCTTACACGAACTGCCCTCCGTCCCCTGGCTGACACGATCCAAGATCATGAAATATCTGCAGGTGATCTCTGTCCTGCAGTTTGTCATCACATTTCTTGTCATGGGTGAGTGGAAGAGTTAAGTTCATTACGAGACTTAAGTCGG